TGCCTGTTCTAGTCCTTTACGTACAGCGACAAGGAGGTTGGAAAGCAGAGGGTTATAGCTTACAGCACAGTCAGGCTGCCTGGACTATGGCCTGGCCCTGCCGCTTACTGACCTTGAAGAAGTTTCTTCATATCGCTGTTCCTTAGCTTCCTCATCTCCATGAAGTCAAAACAGCAACTACCTCATAGGTTTATGAAGAGTCAATGAATTGATATATGCAGAAAACTCAGGAAAGTGTCTGGCAAATAATGAACATGCAACAAATGCTAGTTGTTATATTTACTATTAACAGTAATTTATTAATATTATAAATATAAAAAGATGAAATGATATAATTAAACTATTAAAATCATATTAAGATTATAATCATTATTATTAATTTCCTGTTGACTTGAGTGAGTTTCTTATGTATTCTGGATATTTACTTTTTGTGAGTTTTGGCTGTTACAAACATCCTCAGCAAATCTATCATCTGTCTATTAATTGTCTGAAGTACCCTTCATTAAATAGAAATTCTCAATTTTGTAGTTAAACTTTATTTTTGGCCATATACTTTGCATACTTTGGAGCCTTGTTTAAGAAAACTTTTCCTTCTCCAATATCACAAAAACATTCTTATAATTTCAGATTTCAGTCTATGCTGATCCTTAGATTAGAGTTTCTAGACTTCCGTGAGCTAATCAATCACTCAGTCTTTCATTCATTCACTTGGTGCACTTGTGTAGAAGGTTCTGGTGCGGGTTCAGAATACAGAGAAGGTTGATAGTTTAGCAGTTAGTGGGGGAAACGAAAGACTAAAATATAGCATTTTCTCACTAAATTCAGTAAGAAAGCCAAATGGGTACAGGTAGAGGGGTGAACCGGTGCAGAAGGCTCTGTTGAGGAGATGGGACTTGAACTGTGCCTTGAGGGCAGGGGGAGTTGCAGAGGCAAATAGGAGAGGGGAGGGCATTCCGGGAGAGGGCGGTTACAATGGGGTGAGCAGAGTGTAGAGGTGCAATGGGAGGGCAGGAGGGGACAGAGGAGATGTGTCTGATGGAAGCAGAAGACAAGTATTGGTGAAGACATGGGGGCTTTGAAAGCTAAGCAGAGGCATGGAGATTTAATACAACATATAATAGACGTTCATCATTCGTGTGTGTGTGTGTCTAAGAAAGAGCGAGCGTGTGAAAGAGTGGAGTGGTAACATTCTGACATCAGTGTATGTAACGTGGTTTGCGGAGTGGGCCAAATTGGGAAGACCAGAAGTAGGGAGATGAGGGGGACGACAGGGCTCCAATGTTGTTCTTGCAGGAATGAGGACCACTCCTAGCTCAGGTAGCAGGGATGAAAGTGTGAGGTCGCATGATGTTTTGAGGGAAGAAACAAAGTTAGGTATTTGTAATCTGGAAAATGAAGACAGAAGTGAGCTCCCACATTCTCAGGCCTAGGGTTCTGAAGAAAGGGGACCCCTTGGTGGTGCCCTGTGGCAGGCGTCCAGAGAAGTTCCTTGAATACCAGGTCTTATTTTGTGGTCCCAGTGCACAGTCATGACACTTAGCAAGAGCTTGTCAAATGTTTAATGAACAAATGACCATGTGGACTTGGGAGCAAGGATCGGACACTCCAAAGGAAACATTCTCTGCATCCCTGGAAGACAACCGAGGGACAGAGATTGATATTGCCCCACCCCAACCCCCATTCCAGCACCCTCTGGGAGAAGGAAGAAAAATTAGTAAAGGTGACAGAAGGAACAATCAGAGAGGTCGGAAAATTCATCTCTTGGAATCTTAGAGTTTGGTGGCATCATCAAATGCCACAGAAATCTTGTGGTCATGGTAGGATGTTGGAGAGCAGAACACAAGGACACCGAGTTTAATGATATTTATTGACGGGGAGGGTATAAGGGCATCAGCCAGGGAGCAACGTGTTAGGAACAAGATGCTCCTGCACCACACTGGATCTCCGTGGCACTAGAATGCATCGGGAAGCGTTTCTCTAGAGCTTACAGCAGACCTGCCCTGGTGGGTGCCAGGGAGGGCAAATAAATACAGGACTCTGACCCAAGCTGCAAGACGAAGGCAACCTGAGTGTTGGACCTGAGATCACAGGGGACTGGGAGTTAACTGGACTTTAGGTAAACCAAGAGAAAGTTGAGACATCCTTCGAAAGAGCTTCAAGGGACCTGGCCTTCCTCTCACCAGTGGCGCAGCAGTTAAGTTCGCACCTTTCGCTTCTCAGCGGCCCAGGGTTTGTGGGTTCGGATCCCGGGTGTGGACACGGCACCTCTTGGCATGCCATGCTGTGGTAGGCGTCCCACATATAAAAAAGTAGAGGAAGATGGGCACGGGTGTTAGCTCAGGGCCAGGCTTCCTCAGCAAAAAAGACGAGGACTGGCAGTAGTTAGCTCAGGGCTAATCTTCCTCAAAATAAATAGATAAACAAATAAATTGAAAAAATCAGTATGTGCTGTCATTAAGCAATCTTTATAAAGGATAACCAAGGAGTCACAAACCATTTGGATGGACTGTTGAACTTATTCAAGCATATTTTATTTGGCTTTTAAGAAGCATTTATCAAACCCCTGCTGTGTGCCTTGAGGACAGCTGCTGTAAACAGCTAGGGCTCGTGTCAGCCTGGCCCTGCATGACGGGATGATCATAAAGCAGGTCCAGGACGGGCAGAGGTCAAGGATGAACAGAACCACAGGGCTCTTGATTTTCTATGATTGCTAAGAGTTCATCGCTCATCATCTTCATGCAGCTATCAAACGTCCAACTCCATTTATTCGAGTCCTTACACTGGGAAAACAGAGCTACACCACCAGGTAGCGGAACTGTGTGATCAGCTCAACTCCAAGGTCTGGCACATAACATTTATACGGTTTTTACTTGGGTTGCAAGTAAAAACCAGGAGGCAGCTTGGGCTCCTTTGAAAAGAGTAGTGGAGTCCTACAAGGCAAATCCGTTTATTTCTAAGGCATCAAGGTGTTCGGCCGTGCAACTTGTGTGGAATGAAGCACCAAGCTCGGTAATCGTTAAACGCATTGATTTCTCATAACCTTTGCAATTTCCCAAAGGTTTCTTTTTTTTTTTAATGGGTCATCAGAATGGGCCATGGAGTCATGTACGCTTTTTCCAATAGCCTGATTATAGGCTTCTTTATGTGATAAAAGAGGGCTCAGAATTCCCAGTCTGCAAAATCTTTCCCTGGCAGCCCAAAACATAATGGATGTGGTGTTCTGCCTCACACAAAAGCTGTCCCAGCTTTGTCAGAAAGAGCAGGCCATGGTGGAAGCAATGTGACAGCATGGTGCATGAAGCTGTTCCCATCCCAGGGCCCTGGCCAAGTGGAGATGTTGTTAAAATTTCAAATTGCCAAAGAGCTTTGCTTTGCAATTATATGCATCACTCAGGTTTGAATGAGAGTCTATACGTGGTGGAATGCCAGATAGGTGTCTGCTTAATAAAAACCACAGGCTTTCTTTATCCGATTCTTTGAAAGTTCTATGAACTATTTGAAGGTTCGAGTGCCACTGGGTTTGTAAGAGAAATTTTAAAACATGAAGCGGAGGCTTGAATAGGGCTTCTTGGGTCAAGGCCATTTGGAATAAAATTTAGCTACAAACTTACCAATATATGACCAGGTGATGCGCCTGTGATGGTTTTGTGGCCTGAGAACTTGAATTAGACTAAATGAGAAACGGACCTGAAAAGTACTTCACACTAGTAACCACAACGACTCCTTGAAACTGCTCACTTGTCCCTTAGAAAGTCCACAGAAATGGAGAAGTATGTCCCCTCCATCTCTGGGGACATCTCTGGAGATACCACTATGCCATCCTCCACCCCTCATCCTCTTAATTTTCAGTGCTTTGGAAAATCCAGGATCTTGAAAATTCTTAAAACAAATAATCTGCTTACCTTTATTTGGTGTTAAAATTTTTTTTCAAGGCTATAAACCAGGACAAAATAGCTAATTAAAAACATGTCATTTTGGAGGAAGTTGTTAAATTCATCTAGGAATGTTACAGGTGTCGGTTAAAGTTACCTAAGGTGCTATGTGCAGACAAATTGTACACTTTGACATGCACTATAGGGAGGAGTATGAGAGAAATTCCAGAGTAACAGCTCCGGGAGATGTAGCAATTATCTTTGTAGACTATTAAGTGCATTTTATTATAAAAACCAATTTTTCAGTCTCAGCTTTCGACCTCTCGCATGTACTCCCAATGTCAGGAATGGCTCTCTATTATCAATCTCACATCACTGCACTTTATTTGCTGAATTATCACTTACGCCGCTGGGCAGCAGCATGCTATTTTCTTGCCCTAGACTAGCCTTCATGATGACCCAGCCTCCCTGTAAATTAGCCCCTGGAAAACTCTTCGGTCAATAATCACTATTTCTCTATTAACACTTGCACATCCAAGTCAGCAATCCAGCAGGAGAATGCAAACCATGAATCAGAAATACATACCAAATCTAAAAGTCTAATGATGCCCATTCTGGATCAGCTTATATTGTGTATAGAATTATATCGGCAGAAAAGAATCTAAATCAAATGAAGGGTTTTTGTTTTAAGAATTCTCTTCTATAAACAATGGCCCAGCGAATTGACTTTTCTATTCTATCAGATCTATTTTTTTTTTATGTACCTACGAACATAAACATGTCAGAAAGAAAAGCCACCCAACAATGAGGCTGGTGTGAGAAGAGACTGCTGATGATGAAGGTTGCCGGATTTTCCGTGATACACAGACTGGGTGGCCACAGCTGGCACCTCTGGGGGGCCTCCACCCACAGCTGTTATTTGTGCTTTAGTGATTGCTGGGCAAGAGGGACCACCAAGTGACCAGCAATGACTGGGATGAAGGGGTGTGGAGAAAGGAGGCAGGCTGCAGGGCGCAACTCCAAGGAAAAAGCATATTTCTGCACAAATAACAACTCCAGCGTACACCGTTTCAAGGAGTGCATCTGACTGAAACAAGCTTTCCAAAACAAATGACTCATCAGAAGGAATTAGGGTAATTGCTGGAGATTACCAAAGGTTTATTTGGAATGACACAGCACTGGAAACATAACTGTTACAGATGGTGTGGATACAGCATACATCACCTATCTTATTTTAGGACGATCTGTGAAGATGAGCTGCATAAATATAAAGAGGTGGAAATATATAGGAGCTTTTTTGAATAGTGTTCCTTTGGGGTGGATTTACATGCCCCATCATCTGGCCAATCTCAGAAAGGCAGATGTTGAGACTACCTAGCTGCCCATCCCGACTAGCCGACCGCCAGCCTCAGCAGCCGGACATCTAGATAATCAGGTTCTGCTTTCTCCAAAGGGGCGGCCACTCAGACATGCTACTCGTCATCGCATCCTCAAAAATGCACATTACGAACACAGATACTGTCGACTGTTTTGGCAATGGGATGACTGGTTTTGCTCAGAGGCAAAACTGCAACTGTAATGCTGGACGAAAGAAGAGCAATGCATGTATCAATGACACTCGAGAGGCCACAAGCTACAATGGAAAGGAAAGCAACTATGCATATGTAGTTGTGTGCATACACATAGATCCAAGAGTGATGGAAACTAGCTTGTGTGATTGTGTGTCCATATATAGAGAGAGAAGGGTGTGTTGGAAAAGGACATTGAAAACTTTTGCAGCAGTGTACTTTTAAACACAGTAAACTTGAAAGGGAGAGAGAGAGAGAGAGAGCACGTGCTCGGGGGACTGAGATAATCTCATACTACAGGATAATTCAACACAGCTTCTGCAGGACAGCCACTCAATACCATACACTTGGTGTGGAGAGATTCAGGTTCTGGTCTGGAGAAAGCTACTTTAGAATTGGCAGGACGGGATCAAGTACAAGAGTCTCCAGAGCTTGGACAAAACACAAAGAAACCTGTTAGCCATAACATGGGGACCAATGAGGACTTTTTTCATAATTGACTTTTTTTCTCTTACATTTTTTTGCACACATGCGCCATCGATATATCCTTCCAAGCTTTGTCTGGCATCAGTCTGTAAATCATTAAGAGCGTAATAGCAAAAGTGACCTCTTCAGGTTTTCCTGAAGGTTTAAAAACCCAGTAACCAGGCTCTCTCTACAAGACTTTCGGCCCTAATCCAGGCGCCGGGTGAAGTTCTCCGGAAACAGGCCTTTGTAGGTGGCGAGGTCTCTGTACTGAAGCCAGTCTGATTCCTTCACTCCTACCAGCCAGCCCGCATCCTGCAAGAAAAAGACAAGGCTTTCAAAGTCCAACAGACTCCTGAGAAAATCTGCACTGCCAGCAGTAAAATAATTTGCTTAGTGTTGTGGTCCTGCACCAGGATGTCACATTACACATAAACCAGTGTGCTAAGATCAGTGGGAAGCCTTGTCCCAAATAAGCTGTTAATTAAAAAAAAAGAAGAAGAAACATTTGAGATTATTTATTTTGTACATAAAGTATAGTTAACTGAAAGTCAATATTAATATTATAATTTTGTATAAAATATGGTTAATCGATGCTAACTGGATTATGACATGAGTTCTTTTTCTTCTTCTTCTTCTTCTTCTTCTTCTTCTCCCCAAAGCCCCCCAGTACATAGCTGTATATTCTAGTTGTGAGTGCCTCTGGTTGAGCTATGTGGGACGCCACCTCAGTGTGGCTTGATGAGCAGTGCCACATCCACGCCCAGGATGCAAACCAGCGAAACCCTGGGCCACCAAAGCGGAGTGCACAAACTTAACCACTTGGCCACAGGGTCAGCCCCATGACATGAGTTCTTAAGGAACAGAAAAGGATTCGAATTACAGCCCGTGCAAAGAGAGAAACACCATGTGAAAAAGTGTCATGCACAGGAACATTCTCTGTCCTCTGGGTCATAGTGAAAGAAAGGCTTGAGGACACCTGGGTTAGAATACAGTGCTGACAAGGCCCTGGTAGGTCTCACATTTCATCCCGAATCACTTGCTTATAAGAAAGACCTCTGCGCCCCAGCTTACTTCATTTAACCCAAACCAACCACGTATACAGGGCTTATCAAATAATAACAGCAAGATATGTCTCACCTGATATGACTGCTGTGTTTGTTATTGCTGTTATCCTAATTTTTCAAGTTTATATAAACTATAAAGCAGTTTGTTGTCATGACATTCTTGTTGGAAACATTCATGTATTCTTTAAATTCCTCGTAAACATCTGTCTATCGTACAGGTGTGCCCTCACAAAAATGAAGACATTTAGCCACAGAAAGGTTAAAGAACCCATCTGCGTATGGTTGTACAGAATGAGTGATGACACACAAAACTGAGAAAGGAGGCTGCTGTCTGCCCTCGGCCTCCTAAGGATAAGCAGACGCTACTTGGAAAAAGCTGAGTTGAAGGAAGAGTATTGGACGTACAGACTGTATGAAGTGAAAGTGGTGGGAAACGATTATCTTTATTATGTTAACCAATAGAGGAAGGAGATCCCACTTAAGATGAAGGATGGCCAGAAGCAATCTGAACCAATCTCCAGTTCAAGTACATCAGATAAAGCGAGGTCTCAAAAATTAAATGAAGAAGCTGAATACATTCCCTTTGGATATAATCTGAGACTATAAATTGGCGCTGCTATATAGACAAGAAATATAAACATTTAGACAGGCCAATTTTGAAGGCAAAAAAAAAACCACCACTGAGAAAAAAATGACAATAAAATAACTGATAATATCCTAGCTGATGAGGAAAAGTGTCCTCTTTAAAATTATGATGTTATGTATGTGAAGGACAAAGCTATACTTAAAGTAAAAGATGATATCTAAATATTTTCTAAACCTCCAGGAAGCATATAAAAGGCCGTATTTTCCTCACAAGTGTCTATATTTGACTTTATTTACAGTGAGTGAGAAAGCTAATGGAGCCAAGCAGAGCCATGCATTTGAAAATAGTTTCAATAAAGATGAAAAGGAAAAAACTGGCACAAACCCATAATCAAGATATATTCCCACATGTATAATCTGAAATCCAACTTAAAAAGTGAAGAATAATAGCCAATATCAATCTTTAGCTGAGGAAAATATGGAAAATTAAAATTTGACTGCTTAAAATAGTAAGTAGACTAAAGATTTCCAGTTTGGGTAAGAGCAAAATAGCTTGTATCAGACAAATGCTTCTGCACAGAACAATTATAGACACTAGAATAACCATCTGTTTATACATATCTATATATGCATATGTATACATATATGCAACTATCAATATATAGAAATGACTATTCGTTGTAAGATATAAGTTTATATGATGGTGTTCTTCTAAATAATGGGGTTGTACATATACAACAAGTATTTGAAGGCACTGAGGGTGACCAGCAGCATGCAGGAATTGGGAGATGTTTAACCCTTGAAAGTTGGGAACTGCACTGACTGAGAGTCATGCTGGTACGCCTTGCCCCTCTCCACAGGGAGGATTATCCTGTCTGTGTGATGCAAGGTATTCAGAGGAACAAGTTAGAGCTGCCAGAGCAGCTGCACTTTTATGGGGGATATCCTGAAAAGGAGAGCGCTACAGAGAGGGGTCCCCAAATATGCAGAGAAACTTTCCTGAAATCCTGAGCTGCCCCCCAAAGCTGGGAAGGCATAAGGGGTACCACAAGGAACCTGGGAGAAAGCAACAGCAGAAGGCAAACGTGCTAAGTAGAAACTTAAGCACTGCCAGTGGAGGGGAGGCAGAGTTGAGTTTGAATCTTACAAAGTTAGGGAGCTTGATAAACCCTTTGGGATTTCTACTGAAATCCCTGAAGAGCCATGTCCTAGAGGTAGAGATGCTGTCCCAGAACTAAGAATTCATCCTAAGAGTAAGGGCAAAATTGAAACAGACCCATCCTAACAAAGCGTAAAACAAACTTACAGGAATTCAAAGTAATTATCCAGCAATTTAAATGTCTGCTAGAAGAAAAAGGAGTAATCTTCAGGGAGAGAAAATAGATCCAGATTCTCTACAATGTATGATCCACTGTGTCCGGAATCAATTAAAAAAGTTACCAGACATGAGAAAAAATAGGAAAATATGACCCAAAGATCAAAACCAAGCAACAGAAATGTACCCTGACATGGCCCAGCCTTTGGAATTAGCAGTAAGAAATTTAAAGCAGCTATTATAAATAGGTTCAAGTACTTAAATTGAAAGATGGTACTAATGAGAGAAGAGTGGGAAATCTCAGCAAAGAAATGGAAACTATATAAAAGAGCAACATGGAAATTATAGAACTGTGTAAATATAAAATCTGAAATGAAAACGTCACTGAATAAGCTGAACAACAAATTCAAAGAACAGAAGAAAGCCTCACTGTACTGAAGACAGATCAACAGAAATTATCCAACCTGAGTACCAGAGAAAAATAAATACTGGACAAAGAAGAACAGTCTTAGACATCAAGAAGTCCAACATATGTGTAATTGGAGACAGAGGAAAAGAGGAGGAAGAGAAAAAAAATTTAAGAAATCATAGCTGAAAGTCTTCCAAATGTAGTGAAAAACATCAGGATACAAGTCTAAGGAGCTCAGTGAGCCCCAAGCATGAAAACTATAAAATGCCAACACCTAAGCACATTACAGGCCAACCACTGGAAACCAAAGATACAGAGAAATTCTTACAAAGCAGTCAGGGAAAAAGTCACATTGTATATACCAAGAAATGACTTTAAACAAGCAACAGCTGACTTCTAATATAAACAGTAGAGACTAGAAAACAAAGGAACAACTTCTTTAAAGAGATGAAAGAAAATAATAATCAACTCAGAATTCTCTCTCTAATCTATCTAAGGATATAGCCTAAGGAAAATATCTTTAAAACTGAAGATGACTGAGACATCTTCAGATAAACAGAAATTGAGAGGATTTATTGTCAGCAGATCAGCACTACAGGACTTGGTAAAGGAAATTTTTCATTTTTCAGGCAGAAAAGAAGCGAGACCAGCTGGAAACTCAGATCTGTAGAAGCATATAAGAGGACCGGAAATGCTAAGTATGTTGGTAAACACGAAAGACCAGCTTTTTTGCTCTTAATTCCCTTAAAAGATAACTTATGGTTCAAGCAAAAAATATGTTTATATTTTCTAAGTATATCTTTTTATATATTTTATAACTTTAGAATGGGATTTTTAAAGATTTTGAGATATGTACACACTTTTGCCTGATATTGGAAATTTGTGCATCACATTTTTTCCTGAAGACTATTTCTAAGGTTTTAACAATTTTATTAATCCTTTCAAAGAAATGCATTCATTGGTCAATTTATTTTTATTATTTCCTTCCTTCTATGTACTTTGTATTTAATTTGATCTCTTTTTATCTTCTTAGGCTGAAAACTTGGAAATCAATGATCACTATGAAATATTTTTTAAACTTACACTGTGATTTCTTTGATCCATGGATTATTTAGAATGGCATTTTTTAAATTTTTAAATACTTGGGGCTTTTAAAAATTTATTATTATTATTTTTATTATTAATTTCTAATTTAATTTTTTTGTGCTAGAGACTTTGTTTGAACCAGCATGTAATCTATCTTGGTAAGTGTACTATCAAGAGAAACAACAAAATGTGGCACATGTAAGCCTTAAAATCCTAAGTAGTGACTTTATTTCGGGGCAAAGGGCTCATAAATCTCCTTGAAAATACTAGGGAAGTTATAGCTCTTCTCTGAAGAAAAATACGTTAAACAAATTTACACATTTTGCATACCATTTCAGGAGTTCACAAATCTTTTTTGTTTTTCGGGTTTTTTTGGAGAGGAAGAATTGGCCCTGAGCTAATATCTGTTGCCAATCTTTCTCTTTTTATTTTTCTCCTCCCCAAAGCCCCAGTACCTCATTGTATATCTTAGTTGTAGGTCATTCTAGTTCTTCCATGTGGAATGCCACCTCAGCGTGGCTTGATGAGTGGTGCTAGGTCCGTGCCCAGGATCTGAACTGGCAAACCCCAGGCAACTAAGCAGAACATGCAAACTTCACCACTCAGCCACGGGGCAGGGCCCAGGAGTTCACAAACCCTATGAACAAGAATACAACGGAGTTCTCGGTTCTTTAACATCAGACCTGTATGCTCAAAGATGATTTTTCTTTTTAGAGAACCTTTTAAAAAGTTGAGGTATAATTTAAATACGGTGTAATGCAGAGGTTGTTAAGTGTATAGGTCAGTGACTTTTGACAAACGCGTACACACGTGTAACCCTCACCCATATCAAGATATAAAACATTTCCATCCCCAGAAAGTTCCCTCATGTTCTTTCCTGGTCCCCTCCACACACCCAGAGGCCATTAACTACTCTTGAAGGGATTTCTAATGCACATGGATAGCGTCTGTATTTCCTCAAGGCTGGTGTTTCAGAGACGACACCCCTAGAAAGTGGGTATGTAATAAGAAATGGTCAACTATTTGTATAAAAAAGAAACAATATAACAGCATCCCAAGAGAGACGTGCTAAAAACCTAAAATTAGTGATGTGTGTGGTCACAGCCCTTAAATCCTTTTCAGAGCTGCCTTGGAGCATCTCAGAAAATGAAAGTGTCCTCAGGGAGTCACTGTGTCCAAGTGACCCTCAGGAAAAACCAATATAGCCTGTAGCACCTTCCAATCTCATCCTTTACCTGGTCAGCTTCCGAGTCCGAGGGGACCACCAGCACCACGTCACCTCTTTGTAAGGTAAGTTCATCAGAATTTGCTGCCTCAAAATCGTGCAGTGTTTCCACCTGCAAAAGATTGTAAAAGAACCAATCAATTTTACAAAGAAAAGGAGACGTAAAATCAGTCTCCCGGATTATCAGCAGGCACTCTGAGAAGCATCTCTAAGCTGGATAAAAAAGAGGAAGCTATGTACCACATCCCAAGGAAGGAAAAGGCCTCTGAAGGCAGAAAGGAAACCCTATTCTGTTTACTTAAAACATCCAATTCTGGGGCTGGCCCGGTGGCACAGCGGTTAAGTTTGCACGTTCCACTTCTCAGCGGCCTGGGGTTCGCCGGTTCAGATCCCAGTTGTGGACATGGCACCGCTTGGCAAACCATGCTGTGGTAGGTGTCCCACGTATAAAGCAGAGGAAGATGGGCACGATGTTAGCTCAGGACCAGGCTTCCTCAGCAAAAAACAGGAGGACTGGCAGTACTTAGCTCAGGCTAATCTTCCTCAAAAAAAAAAGAAAAAAAATCCAATTCTTATAGACTGATCCTGAGGCCACTTGGGTGTATATTTACTAGTGCAATGCCTTCTGCAAGAGTTGAAATGTTGTCATTAAATTTTAATTAGTCATATTTTTGTTACAGATTTGCATTTTATTATCACTGATGCTTTATTATTGTTTGTTTTTTAACCGGAACTAAAAATGTGCAGCAGAAAGTTCCTCTAACCCCAGCTTCTCAAATAATTAATAATTAGGAAAACCATCACTTGCATGTTATAAGGAAATCACTGCTGAATTAAACCCTGTGATCAATTCCTTTATAAATTAACTTCCGTCTCTATCCTACTCTTTAAACCATGCCAATCTGTTTCTTTTCTTTCTTTTTCTTTCTTTTTTTAACTGGACTATATGTGACATATAACATTGTGTAAACTTAAGGTGTACAACATGTTAACTTGGTACATTTATAGATTGTAACATGATTGCCATTGTACTGATAATTAGGACCTGTACCATGTTACATAATTATCATTTCCTTTTAGAGGCTGGAGTAATTAAGTTCTAGTCTCTTAGTAAGTGTGATGATTATAATATACTACTGTTATCTATATTCATCATGCTGTGCTGTAGGTCTGTAGGGTATTTTTAATATCATTGCAAGCTTGCACCCTTCAATAACATTTGTCCTATTTCCCACCCTTCCTTCCCTTTTTTAAAAAAATTTCTTTAAAATTTGATTATAGAAAATTTTTTTAAAATGCAGAAAGAATAGTATAATGAAGCCCATGGCGTCATCACCCAGCTGGAATAACTATTTAATGGCCCGTTTTACTTCTCCCATGTCCTCTCCTCGACCCCCCTGAGATTAAACAACTAGCTTTTGAAACGTGGATTTTGCATATAGAGTCATAAAATGTCAGATCTGGAAATGACGAGCTTATCTCCAAATTCATTTTTCTGATAAGAAAACTGAAGCCCCCCCCACCCCCCGAGAGAGGAGTTAAGTGATGCTCAGCTCACATCGCAGGTGGTGGGGGAAGCCAGGGACGGGCCCAGCCAGGGGGGGCCTCACGTGCACGCTGCCTCCTTCACTTCTTGTGCTTTACTTAAAACACAAGCCCTCACTAGCCACATGTCTAATTTTTTCCCCACATCATCTCATTCATAAGTCCATTATACTCGCTCTGTCCCCACGTGAGGTGGTAAGATAGCAGCTACTTTCTAATGAGCAGAGAGAGAGAGAAGAAAAACATAATGACTGTTACCATTCAATTCCAGCTCCACAAACACACATAAATGTAGTACTTTCTAAAAGAAAAAGAGCTGAATTTTGAAATGTAAAATCAAATATGAAACTTAAAATTCCCACCATATTCTATTAGGTAGGATTCTCTGCCTTCGACCCTTGGCCTAAGCCAGTGTTTTCAGGTATTCACAGGGGTTTCTGGTAAGGATCCATGGATTTATGAAGGCTCTAAGTAGCCATTTGATGGCCTCTCTGAGCAAAAACCTTCTTCCCATTAATTTGGCCTCTTTTTCTCTTCATTTTCATAGAAGCCCATTGATGTATTTATTCACTTACTTTTCAGGCACTTATTGGCTCCCTACTTTGGGGCATGCACAGTAAGGAGGTGCCAGAGTTGACTCAATGGTTCGTGTTTTCCACCCTCTGGAGGCGTGTGATCCACATGGGGAGCAAGTGAGCACAAGGGTAATTTCCAAGCCCTGATCAGAGCCCAGGCTGGAGGGACTCCCAGGGCTCCATGGGGGGGGGGGGGGGGAGGGGAGGGGGGAAGGGGGAGGGGAGGGGAGAGGGGAGGACCCTCGGGCGAAGCAATCCACCCATGCACCAAGGGACATATCATTTGCCCTGTGGCAAACTTTCCTTTAATTATGGGTTGTTACAATATGGTAAGACGTTACCGTAGTTCTTGTTTGTCCAGCAGCCCGTAAACCCTGCCAGGTGGCAATGTGATGTTGGGATGAAGGCGAGAGCAGTACAGAGAAAGAATACAGATTGCAAAGAGCAAAAGTAAAACTTGGAAAACCACAGGTTCAAGCAAAAGGGCCTCAAAGCAAAGGAAGGACAAATGGCCACCAGATTAAAAGAAACAAACAATGGAAAGACCTTGTAGAGAAAGCCGGGCGGCACTTCCTGAGAGACCTCGCTGGCAGACAGAGCTGCAGGCGCCGGCTGGGAGTCCTCCCCGGCCTCCTGCTCCAAGGCCAGCTCTGGCGTCACGCTGGTGGAGACAGGAGGAGCAGCAGCATCAGTGGCCTCCTTGGACTCTGCACCGATGGTTATCTCGTGCTCTCCTTCCCCTTCGTTGTTGGAAGCGGGCTCGATGATGACAGAAGGGATGACCTTCTCCTGGAGGAAGGAAGTCATGGTGATACCCAGCAGGCCAGGGAGACAAGACTTCTGTGTTCTCCATGGGCTGCCTCTACCCCTGCCCCACCCTCCTTGGCTCCCACTTTCCCCAGCTCCCTCATTCAACAAAATGCCTGCTGTTTCCAAACTTTTCTGGCCTTCCACCTTGCAGGGCCTTCCTCCCGACACGGCCTCCTTTCTCTCTCTCCTAAGTCAGAAACCCTCCGTGGGATTAGTTTCTGCATCCTTGAACAATCACGCAGGCTGGGAAGAGTGAGGTTTCTGTGGAAACTGAGAAGAGGGACCGGAGACTGAAAGGAGGGAGCGTGGGCAGGGCAGGGTGGTGGCGACTGTCCTGAAAGCGACCGCAGTAGGATTCCAAGGGCGTCACATTCTTGCGGTGGTCCATTCTTGTCCCACTGACATTTCACCTCCCCTGAGTGCTTTTCTCTCTGAGTCCCATGGGACTCCCGAATGGCCTGAAACCATACTGTTGGCAAAGAGCTGGCCCATGTCTGGAAATAATCTCCCTGTCCTTTGCTTGTTGATTCTCCTTAGAGCCCACACTGCAGTTACAGCTTGAGGGGTTACAACCACCACCAACCACACCACGTACTCTATTTTCAGGGGGGAAAGCAGAACCAAAGGATCAAGACATCCCTTTTGTCTTTTAACAAAGATGAGCAAGGAGGGGGGTTTCACCAGCTTCATGGAAGTCTGGAGATGTTTTCTGCCTTTCAGATCAAGTTCACACTCCTTCAGCTATCAGTGGACACAAGCACTTCCAGTCTTCAGTTTGGAGAAAATAATACCCTCTTTCAACAAGTCTAACAATATATACAAAATAATCCTGACATTGTGACAAGAAAAATCTCTCGAAAAAAATGGAACATACTTTTGAGTTATTTCTCCAAATATCAATACAATCTGTTTTTCTAGTAGGATGAAAGGGATAATTCAGTGTCAAGCTTTGAGTAAAGCTGGAGAGGTTTTTGGAAACTTATTATGAGTACAATAATCAGGAAAATAGAAAGTATAACATTAAGCCACTCACATTGTGACCTTCTAGAACACAGAAGAACCAAACATGGGGCTTAGAAGAGCGGTCCATGCTCTGGCACCAGGGTCTGAGGCTCCCACCTCATGGAATATGCAGGCTTGTTACCTAAATGCTTCTCTGAAGAACTGAGGAGCTGGGGCTGGGTCTAACTTCATGTATGTATTTAAGGACCCATTTTTCTTTTGAAAATGCAACATAAGGATCGGCATTTGGTGAAAGAAGCCTTAAGCTGGGGTGAATTTGGGGCACCCTAATAATAACCACTACAAAACAGTAATAATAGTAATATGATTTAACTACTAATACTGGGTTCTCACCACGTGCCTGGCAGCAGGCTCAGCACTTGACGGCTATTTTCTCATTTAATCCACACAACCACCCTATCATTCCATCATCTTCTCTTTCTCCTCCCTCCCTTGTCCTCCTTTTCATCGTCTGTGCTTCATTCCTTTTCTCCATAACTTTATTGCAGAGTTTCCTTTTCCCCTCTCTGTGCTTAAGTCCAGTCTGTCATAACACTGGGGATCTGTGCGGAAGCCCCCAGTGCTGATATTGCAGGAATGCTGCAATCACCCTTTCTGAGAATCTGATTTTTTTTTTTTTTTTGGTGGCATGTAATGCCACGGAATGGCTACAAACTTATTCTGCATCCAAAAGAGTTATCACCATTCACCAACAGACAGCGCATTCCAACCGGCACCATCTCCTGAGAACCTCCCCTTCACCAGGGCACTTACCGGAGGTGCTGCTGCTGCTGTTTCTTCTGGCTGAGATCTGTCGCTATCCACAGCCTCTGCGGCTTCAGCATCAATCCTGGCCTCCTCTAAACTTGCTCCTTCCCCAGCTGGAAGAGCTGCCTTCTCTGTCTCTGCTTCCTCCACCGGGGCCCCCTCCGCTGCCGGCATGGAGATTCCAACAGTCACATCAGCCTCAGTTCCAGGGATGATCTGTAAACCAGAAATCAAACAGGTCGTGTCTGTATCTCCACGGGCCTCAACCAGAGTCAGCTCAGCCCTTTCACTTCTCTGTCTGCGGAAGCTCCTCAGATTTCAAAGCTTTCTTTGTAATGTACGGAAGCCCAGGATTCAGATACAAGAGGCTCACCTATCTGTTCAGCAAAACTCTGTCTTCTCTGCTTCCAGGGCACCCAACAATGTTCCATTCCCCAGCCTTCCTTGCAGTTAGCTGTATCAAGTGGAATTTGAGTACAAGTGACATTTGCCATTCCTGAGACATGGCTTTTAAGGTGTGGGGGGTCCCCTCTACAAGCTATTTCTATTTCTGTTGGTTGAAAGCAGATGATAGCAATGCCCTAGAGAACATCTCAGTCACCAAATGGAAGAGGTCTGCCCCAATACCTAGGTCATGGAAGAAAGCTGCATAAGAAAAGCGTCCTCATTATGCAAAGTCAGAATCTTCAAAAATTGCGTTTCAGTATAAACTTTAAAATCTTCATGAGGCAGGTCCCAGAAGCTAAATCACATTCATGGAAAAAAAAACACTAGGGAGCTTTCTCAACGAGACCTCTTGAAAATGAAGGGAAAATCAATTTTGTTATCAAATATGCATTATAATCAAAAATAAACCAGATTTTGGGTCCTTTACTGGGAGAAGTAGAATAAAAAAAAAAAAAATGAGTATTTTGTTTCTAAAGCCAGAACACAGTCAGAAGTAGAGATTTAAGTAGTATTTAAATCTTGCAATAATGAAACAAAGAAGCTGCAATCCGAAGTTTTAGTTTTTGAACAAATTGGTCAAATTGGTTTTGGAGTCCACATCTTTAACAAGACTCTGGTGTCAGCTTTGCAGAGCTGATTTGAGATGTTTAAATCAGAAAGACTGAGAAAGAATATCAGATTGATCTTATTGAATATACTCAGGACACATATTTCAAAAATTGAACCTGCCATCTGATGTGATTAGCATTAGCCGTTCCTCCTCTTTATTGAATAAACTCTGCTCAGTTTGTTCTATTAAATTAATGCTGCAGATATTAACTGTCAAGCCCAGAATCCTGAGACGGGCGATGGAGAGTGCCTGCGGCGTGGGAACCAGAAACAGGAGAGGGAGAGTATGAGTCACTCGTCTACAGTCACGGCAAGGGATTTTTAAAAACCTTCCTTCTGACCCAAATTTATTTTTATTTATTAAAGTAACCTGTTGCAAAATACACTGTTCTGCCACATATTTTACTTTGGGAATGAAAAATAATGTTAACAGCTATACTATTTGTTACATGGCCAAGTATTACTCATATTCTTAGAAACTGACTTCCTTCCTTCTCCTATGAGAATCTCTTATCTTGAGAATTTGGCTCTCCAAAGTGTGCAGGGATCCAAAATGTAGTCAATGCACAGCATGTGTTTCTTTTTTCTACCCTGTCATTAAAGTACATGGGCTCAGAAATCCTTTTACATGAACTGTCACATACTTATTTAAAGTGAATTTATAAATGTTGATAATTATTGAAGTGGGGAAACGGGTACACGGGGATTTCTATTTTGCTGAATGACTGCAAATTCCCATAATAAAAAGTTTATTTAAAAATCTAGGAGAATTGCATCTCTTGTTTTAAATAAACATTGCTCTTTTTATGTATTTGTCGCCATTGTCAAGAGAGTAATAATCAGAACATAATAGGAGAGCATCTTAATTCTAAGAATAATGAAACAACTGCTCACAGCTTTACTGTTGGAGAAATCAGCAAGCTTTCTCCAGGATCCTAAGGACCTAGCAAAGTTTCCTCCACATCAGAAACTATACATAAAGCCTATGAGCAAACACTGGATTTATGGACTCAAATATAGAAAGCAAGTTGTGTTGTCATCATTCTAAGTTACTTAATGCTTTCCATCTGTCTGGAAAATCACACCCAGGAAGTGCACATCCCAATGATTTCAACAACTTCGCACCAGATGGACTCAGGATACACGCAGACAGTATGGACAAATAGAGCCACACATACCAGCACACGCACACATCACACATACATATTGTTACATATGAAAAAGCAGCCGTTATGTTATTTCAGAGGCTACTTCTCAAAGTGATTACACATAAATTCTTCTATGCATACACGTTCCAAGGACACACTATTAGTAGTTGGATTTTACTATTAACTGAATTGAAACACCTCCAGAAGAGAATATATTTCTGTGAAGCATTAATGGTGTTGCCAAAGGTCATTTTTTGAACTCTCTCCATACAAATAGCATGTTAATAATGAGTCTCTGATTTATCTCTAGTGCTCTATATACCTACCAATTTGACTGTATCAGATTTTACCACTGCAAGATATACATGTTATCACCTTTCCTTTGCTAAATAATTTAAATATACCTCATTGGCTGGATTAGACCTGCCAGCGTGGCTGCTGTGATGCCAGCCACCAGCAGGTGGAGGCCAAGGGCTCAGTCTTGTCCACGGTCTCATGTTCACTGAACTCACAGGAGCAAATACCCCAGCTTCAGTCTATCAACGATTTACCTGATCTCTGTCACAAAAAAAGGGAGGGAGCACGTAGAAAATTCTTGGTAAGAATGATGGCAAACAAAAGTCACCAAAATACTGAAATTAATGCTGGTAGAGGCATGGTGTTAAGGAAATGGGCACTTCACAGAGAGGAAAAACCAAACAATTTGAATGACCTACTTGGAAAATGGAAGAAATGAACACTCCTCCATTCCGCTTTGAGTCCATCAGTAACGACTTCCTATTTCTCCAGCCAAAATTAGCACTTTGCTTTCACAGAGCTTAGGAACATTACAGAAACCGAGAAGGGCTGTCGGTTACCTGTATTTCCTCATATCTGTCTGCCTCTGGCACTGCTCTGAAAATGAAGGGTGCCTCAATCCTCCCTTTATGTCTGGAATCTGTTCCACATTTTCGGCTCTTACTAAATATTTCCAATGCATATTTACTGACTGCAGGAGTAGGCCAACATTAAAATGGAAAACAGGATTCCATTTGCTTAGATTAGGTGTTAGTTCTAGATAAAATCAAAGAAAGATTGAAATGGTTTTCAAAGACAGAGTTATCCCTCTTATTATTTTTATACATTCTAGTTTGGTAGCTACTTGTAGATTTAAACAAGAAAAGCATTTTCTAGACTCTGCTTGCTACTGTAGATATTACACCTGCCAGGAAAAACCACAATGATAAATGACTGCTATTTGTTCGGGTTTTTTTAAGTGTTAACCATGGAGACCAAAGGACTCAAACTACTGAATACTCAAGTATTCAAGTTCTCTTAGTTCAAGCCTCTGATATTCAATGTTATTAAACTTTTCTCTTCATTCCAAATGTGAAGAAAAACACCATTACCCTATCTTACACCAAAACGGTACTTTCTAAATGCCCGTCGATGGATGAATGGATAGAGAAAATATTCACATATTTTATATATACACATATATATAAATATATAATGGAATATTGTTCAGCCATAAAAAGAAGAAAATCCTGTCATTTGCGACAACACAGACTCTAAACGGGTTATGCTAAGTGAAATAAGTCAGATAGAGAAAGACAAATACTGTATGATCTCACTTGCATGGGAAATCTAAAAACCCAAACCAAAACAACCCAGTTCATTCATACAGAGAACAGACTGACGGTTGCCAGAGATGGGGGGTAGGGGGTGGAGAAATGGATGAAGATAGTCAAAAGGTATAAACTTCCAGTCATAAAATAAGTAAGTCATGGGGATGTAACGTACGGCATGGTGACTATAGTTAACAATACTGTATTGCATATTTGAAACTTCCTAGGAGAGTAGCTCTTAAAAGTTCTCATCACAAGAAAAAAATTTTTTTCTAACTATGTAAGGTGATGGATGTTAACTAGATTTATCGCAATGATCATTTGGCAATGCATACAAATACTGAATCATTATGTTGTACATCTGAAATAAACACAATGCTATAGGTCAACTATATCTCAATTAAAAAAACATAAAACAACACAAAAACTGTACTATCTGTTGGCCAAATATATTTACAGTAGAAAACATCTAATGCAAAGAGAAACTAAAAAAAAAAGCTCTCCCTGCCCTTAGGCACATGTTGTTTACTGTGTCCACAAGGTCCAGGAGGCACGACCACCATGACTGTCGCCAATATGCACATTAACCACATAGAAATCACAAGAGTCAGAACGGACCATCTTTGTCTTAGTGATGGTGAGCGTGGCTCTCAATTTACACACTGTGCACATCTCACTGCTTTCTCATCTTCTGCCTCAACAGTCTCCTTGGCGGAAAGCAGTAAGGTTCTGGCATTCATGTCTGAGTCCCCTCCAACACCTAATTGCATTAGCAAAATGTTCTGGAAGTGGAATGAAGTGAATGCAATGCAGTGATGGACGCAGTATCCTGCAAAGTGGGGAAACAGAGCTGGGTGACGGAAACTAGCCAGTCCCTGCAGGAGACTGTGCCGTGGGTGCAGGTCAACCAGGACTGAGACCCCAGAGTAGTGAAGGTAGCGACAGGCTGCAGGAGAACTTGTAATCTCTGCCCTTCATGGAAGTTATTGACTGACTGACTTTATTCATTGTTTGCTTTCTTGGCAATATGAGCCCTGAATAAGGCCTGAAAAGCAGCCTGCCACTCGTGTAACTGGGCTGGATGAGGACAACTGAAGTGACGCCCTAGCACGAAATTCCATACTTATTTATATGGTAGGTTCTTTTAGCCGAAAACAGACATTTTTCCGATTAAAAAATAATGCATACCACAGGTTTAAAAATAATAAGAAATAACTTATGGTAACATTTTGATGTATTTATTTTTATTCATTTTCTATGCACATAAGGGCCTTATTTACTTGTTTATTTTACAACACACAGATCAAGTTTCTTAGAAAAATCCTATCAACGGCTATATAATACTTTATTGCTTTTTTATTTAACAATTTATTTAACAGTTCTATCACGGAACACTAGTTGGCTA